TAAAGTTTTCTGAGAAGGTGGAGAGAACTAAATAAATAAAAGACACATTTTACAAGCATAACCAAATCATAATCATCATTAATCAAGGGCAAGAAAATGCTCACAAGATCCAGAAGCAGAATGTGTATCATGTCAGCCCACCACATCAGAGCGAGAGCAGGAACATTACTCTTTGACCTGCTGGTCAAGCTCTAGTTTGCATATCAAATGAATTCTCCTCCCTGTGTGTCGGGTCAGAGCTGAGTTGACCTGGATTATCTCGCAACCAATTTATTTCATTAGGAGCCGTGAGACTGCCCAGCAAGCAATTTTGCGTTTAAAAGACGTCTATTAGACGTCTAGGCTAAAACAAGGCTAGTTTTTAACAACTTAAAACAAAATATTTTAACTAACTTAAGATATTTAAAAGAAAAAAAAAATCTAATACAAATCAAGAGCATGTTATCACACTTAACATTAAAACATTACGGATAAATGACAACATAAAAAAGATGAACCCTTTTGTTGGTTTACTTTTAACAAATAAAACAACCAACAGTGAACTTAAAGGAAATTATTAATTATTGGTTTTATTTCTTGTTTAAAATGCCTCCCAACTGCATTCCTCAAGTCCAACTCTGTTGCTGACAGGAAGTTGGTCATCACAGCATCTGCCAAATAAGAAAGAAAAAAGAAAGCACAAGAAAAGCTTGACATAATTTTTTACTTTAAATGCACTAATTGTGACAGGGAGTCATTTGTCAGTGAGCTTTAGTGAGGAAATGTTATTTTGGAGAGTTTTTATTTATTTATTTTTTTACCATTGCTGCCTGGATCTTTTCCAGATGTTGAAACTCCTCCTCAGTTTCTCCAATTCTTCTGAGTGTGTTCACTGTATAAATTAATATGGATTAATCTTTGTCAAAGCTGCGTTTGTTCTGTTGTTTGCTCTTCTTGCGCTGTTTTAAAATCGATTGAGTTTGTAAACACATACAAATGATAAAACTTTTACTCTATTAAATTTTGCAATTAATCCTTTGAACACATGCGTGCTGAACCGTGGGCCTAGTCACGGGTCACTATCAACTACAATCTGCTCCCTTCACGAAAATGTAACGGTTCCTAAACATGATAACAAATAATATAGATAAATAATGAACACAAGTCCACATGAAACCAAATTCAAGGTTATTTGGGCTAGAAGTGGGTTACACATAGCCGGACTATATCGGGTCTATACTTAACCGAGACGTAAATGTGACAGCTATTGCTTGCTGGGTGGGATCACACGGCCTGATCGAACACACACACACACACACACATCTTCTGTACCTCAGTTGCTCCCTGAACATAGGAAGTCGAGGCAGAGTCCTGCACGGGTCCTGTTTCATAAACCCGCACCTGCAGTAATTGACAGAACACTCGTCTCGACCCGTTATCCGACAGCAACACTATAACTCCGTACCCGACCCGAACCACACATGTATTCTCCTACATGAGGTAGACAAAACGCGTTTATTTAAACTTCTATTCAAATATTAAGTAAATTAATATTTATTAGATAAACTAATATTTCACGGATAGGTTGCAGAATTTATGCCTACACAAAAGAAAGCTCTGTCTACGGTTTGTGTCAAACCATTCGTTAATCTGGCTGTTTGATGAAGAGAAAGAGATCAAATGTAGTAGAAATAAACATGTTAAGAATCCATAGAAGCGGAGGACTCTTATTATGTTTTTTTTAGGACTATTAAATGATTGGTTGACCAATCAGCGGAGAGGGGCGTTTCATTCCCGTCCACATGTAGAGATCGAATATTCAAGTTGCTTATTCGTTTTCTATCCCTGAAGGTAAAAACGAAAAATAACGCCAAATTCTTGATTTTTCGTTTCATTTGAATCATATGATGCTATTTTAAAGATCATTATTTTGTGTATTTGGTGTAACAGAATATATTGACATGCTTTAATGATCAAAAAACACATTATTTTTCAAATACTGTACATTATTGTAGGTCCTCTATGCCCCGCCTCTCTCAAACGCTTCGTTTTCTACAAAGTCCCTCCTTCTGACAAGCGCAGTCTGCTCTGATTGGCCAGCTGACCCAGTGCATTGTGATTGGCCGAACACCACAAGCACGCGTCGGAAATGTAACGCCCCTTACCATAATCGCGAGCTTCAGCTTTCAAAGTAAATATCAAGACAGTTAATAATGTCATTAGTTTTACCATCAGTTCAAGCCCGAGAGGACAACAGTCACGTGACAGACACAGTGATGATGCAGTACACACGCCGCAGTTAAGACAGCTGACGTGCTATGATTTCTGACAGACAGTTCACTCTCCTGTTCACACACACACACACACACACACACACACGACGTGGTACTCTGCGCTGCAGAACAGTCAATAGCAATCTTTGGATTTGAGACTTTAGTCTTTGCAGCTTTACAGATCTTCTTTATGCACCAAGAGCTTGTAGCACTCCAAAGAGAAAGGACAAGATCCTAACAGCAGTGAGAAATACAAGCACAGAGGGAACACACACACACACTTTATTAAAGATTGTTTATTAATACTTTAACTCTGAACTCTTATGCTGTATTGGGTAAATACTGGGGTATTTACAGGACATCATCATACATGCAGGGGGTCTGAATACTTTCCGTACCCACTGTATATATCACTGACACTCGATAAATAAAAGAAATGTTGTTGGCTGATGGCACTGTAGTGTTTAAAACAAATGACAAACAGTAGAAATCACAACATTTGACAGGGTTTAAAAAGCTCATCATTGGCCCTTCCACAAATTAAGGCCTTAAATCAATGCAGAAAGACTTTAATTGATAAAGTCATGGCATTTCATGTTACATGCATTACAAAAATGACTAAGTATTTGTATTAGCTGTTTTCTAATACAAATATCTAAACATCTTTAAATCAAGATACATTCACTTGAGAAGCAAACTGAACATATGAAGTCTTGTTTTCTGAGAAACTGAACGAAGTGAGTTTGTTTAAAACAAGAACAAATATCTGCAATGGAAACAAAGCTTGTTTTCCCTTTGAACGGAGTTGATTTTTCTGAGACCATTGGCAGACATTTGTTCTTCTGAAATACTCTTCAGACTTTAGCACTGGAAAACAAGCACTTTTTGCAGTGTGAAGGTACAGTAAAAGTTATATACCATATTTCTAGTGAGCTATTTATGCTTTTTTTGTGAAATGAATAAAGTAACTATTTTCACATTTTGAAGTGTTGCGAATACAAGACATTTACATTTAGACACCATATTAACGCATTTCTTAAATTTTCTTTACTTGGTCTTAAAAGGTCTTACATTTACTTTCAGAAAACTTGCAGAAACCCTGTTTTAGAAACATCTGCAACTGCATGTACCAAAAATATTCAAATTCATTCATATTTTTAAGACCTGCATACATTATTCATGAACATCTAGACTTAAAAGGAAAAATGTTAAGTTTCGCTCTGCTCAGTGGGCAAAAATAAAACGTTTTTAATTTGGTGGTTTTGCTTATTCAGCCCATTTCTGTTAGTCAGTAAAAATATGAATTAACAGCAAAGCAGGTCAGTAAAATGATAATAAAATGAAAGAATGGATGGTTAAATACAGCATTGGCCTTTTGGGGTTTTGATTCTGCAGGAACCTGAAGTTCTCGTGAAGTTCTGCAGATGGATTTCTCACTGCTTTCTCTTAAAACATTTTTTGCTCTGCAGAGTGTTCGATAAGTTTTGTTACCATGGAAACAGAGACACGGTCGCCTCTCCGGCACTGACACAGATAAACAGAGACGACAGGAGATGTGAATGAGATGAGAAGAGAAGACACGTGATGAAGACTTGAAAGAGCCAGGATGAGGTTGAATGGAGAAGCGCTCCTCTGGAGATCTTCAGGACCTGAAACACGCAGAACAGGTTCCTCCGCGGCTGGACTCCTGCTGTGGCGAGATGGTGTCTGCAACCTCTGACTGCAGCAGATCATTCTCATTAGCTATAATGTGCTTCACCAGACAGTGCGCAGCCTCATCTATATTAATATTCTCCTGTAGAGAGAGAGAGAGAGAGAGAGAGAGAGTGATAGTACCTTTCCTGTCAGTGTTCACACACCTCGTCTCTGGCTGTGACTGCATTAATTAGCTTGTGAAAATTCACGTCGTACTGTAGCCGAAGGACTGAGTCAGCAGAACGTGTGTGAGCGGTTTTGTCTGCTCTAATGATCTTCACACACAAACACACCCGATTCACTACTGATTTACATAGCTCATCCAAAAAATTTGAATTCTGTTATCATTTTCTTCCTTGGAGCACAAAAGGAGAAATCTAACAGCTCATTCACTTTGCATGCACTACTCTTCAAAAGGTTGGGGTCAGTAAGAGTTTATTCAGCGAGGATGCATTAAATTGATCAGTTTGAAGTGACTAAGACATTTATAATTTTACGAAATTTTTCTATCCCAAATGAATGCTGTTCTTTTGAACTTACTATATATCAAAAATCCTGAAAAATAAAATGTATGATAGTTTGCACAAAAAAATGAAGCAGCACAACTGTTTTCAACATTGATAATGATCAGAAATGTTTCTTGAGCAGCAAATCAGCATATTAGAATGATTTCTGAAGATCATGTGACACTGAAGATTCAGCTTTGATCACAGAAATAAATGACATTTTACAGTAAATGCAAATAGGAAACAGTTATTTTAAACTGCAATAATATTTCACATTACGGTATTTACTGTATTTCTGATCAAATAACTGCAGTCTTGGTGAGCAGAAATTTAACCGGCACAAGGCTTATTTCTGCCATGGACTAAAAAAAAATTTAAAAGGTAATTGCAACTTTTATCTCACAAGGTACAGTAAAAGTTATATACCATATTTCTAGTGAGCTATTTATGCTTTTTTTGTGAAATGAATAAAGTAACTATTTTCACATTTTGAAGTGTTGCGAATACAAGACATTTACATTTAGACACCATATTAACGCATTTCTTAAATTTTCTTTACTTGGTCTTAAAAGGTCTTACATTTACTTTCAGAAAACTTGCAGAAACCCTGTTTTAGAAACATCTGCAACTGCATGTACCAAAAATATTCAAATTCATTCATATTTTTAAGACCTGCATACATTATTCATGAACATCTAGACTTAAAAGGAAAAATGTTAAGTTTCGCTCTGCTCAGTGGGCAAAAATAAAACGTTTTTAATTTGGTGGTTTTGCTTATTCAGCCCATTTCTGTTAGTCAGTAAAAATATGAATTAACAGCAAAGCAGGTCAGTAAAATGATAATAAAATGAAAGAATGGATGGTTAAATACAGCATTGGCCTTTTGGGGTTTTGATTCTGCAGGAACCTGAAGTTCTCGTGAAGTTCTGCAGATGGATTTCTCACTGCTTTCTCTTAAAACATTTTTTGCTCTGCAGAGTGTTCGATAAGTTTTGTTACCATGGAAACAGAGACACGGTCGCCTCTCCGGCACTGACACAGATAAACAGAGACGACAGGAGATGTGAATGAGATGAGAAGAGAAGACACGTGATGAAGACTTGAAAGAGCCAGGATGAGGTTGAATGGAGAAGCGCTCCTCTGGAGATCTTCAGGACCTGAAACACGCAGAACAGGTTCCTCCGCGGCTGGACTCCTGCTGTGGCGAGATGGTGTCTGCAACCTCTGACTGCAGCAGATCATTCTCATTAGCTATAATGTGCTTCACCAGACAGTGCGCAGCCTCATCTATATTAATATTCTCCTGTAGAGAGAGAGAGAGAGAGAGAGAGAGAGTGATAGTACCTTTCCTGTCAGTGTTCACACACCTCGTCTCTGGCTGTGACTGCATTAATTAGCTTGTGAAAATTCACGTCGTACTGTAGCCGAAGGACTGAGTCAGCAGAACGTGTGTGAGCGGTTTTGTCTGCTCTAATGATCTTCACACACAAACACACCCGATTCACTACTGATTTACATAGCTCATCCAAAAAATTTGAATTCTGTTATCATTTTCTTCCTTGGAGCACAAAAGGAGAAATCTAACAGCTCATTCACTTTGCATGCACTACTCTTCAAAAGGTTGGGGTCAGTAAGAGTTTATTCAGCGAGGATGCATTAAATTGATCAGTTTGAAGTGACTAAGACATTTATAATTTTACGAAATTTTTCTATCCCAAATGAATGCTGTTCTTTTGAACTTACTATATATCAAAAATCCTGAAAAATAAAATGTATGATAGTTTGCACAAAAAAATGAAGCAGCACAACTGTTTTCAACATTGATAATGATCAGAAATGTTTCTTGAGCAGCAAATCAGCATATTAGAATGATTTCTGAAGATCATGTGACACTGAAGATTCAGCTTTGATCACAGAAATAAATGACATTTTACAGTAAATGCAAATAGGAAACAGTTATTTTAAACTGCAATAATATTTCACATTACGGCATTTACTGTATTTCTGATCAAATAACTGCAGTCTTGGTGAGCAGAAATTTAACCGGCACAAGGCTTATTTCTGCCATGGACTAAAAAAAAATTTAAAAGGTAATTGCAACTTTTATCTCACAATTCTGACTTTTTGTGCAATCTCACAATTCCAAATTTTTTTTTAAAAGTTTCTTGCAATTCTGCCTTTTATTCTCAAAATTGCAAGTTTATACCTCACAATTTTGTTTAGTTTTTTCTGCAATGGAATAAAAAGAAAGAAAATAATTGAGACTTTATCTCTGAAATCAGTTTTTTTTTCTCATAATTGCAAGTTTAACATCTCTATTTTTTTAAATCAGAATTGTGAGAAACAAACTCAGTATTGAGAAAAAAAAGTGTCAAAATTGTGAGATAAGAAGCTGCATTTCCGTTTTTTTTTTTTATCACGACACACAATCATTCATGGATTCTTGTTTACGCCATGTGTAAATGATTCTTTCAACCAATTAAAGGGGTCATATGATGCTGCTAAAAAGAACATTATTTTGTGTATTTGGTGTAATGAAATGTTTATGCGGTTTAAGGTTAAAAAAAAAACATTTTCCACATACTGTACATTATTGTTTCTCCTCTATGCCCCGCCTTTCTGAAACATGTCGATTTTTACAAAACTCAGTCTGAAAAAGTGAGGTGTGCTCTGATTGGCCAGCTATCCAGTGTGTTGTGATTGGCCGAATTCCTCAAGCGTGTGACGAAAATGTTACGTTCCTTACCATATTCTGATGCCTGCGGCAACCACATGTGACGACCCCGGGCTGGACTCCGCTTCGTCCGCGGTGAAAGCAGATCCGGCGATCCACAGCACAAAGTTGAAGTATTTCCTCAGCGACCAGCACGGATCAGCTCCAGGCATGACGAAGCGGATATCGTCCTCTTTTGGAAGACCAAACAATGTAGTTTCGCTTTCACAACGAAGCACACAGCGTCTTCACGACATGGCGGCGGCAACAATACTACAGCGAGAATAAAAGTTATGCCTTCTTTCTTTGCGTGAACATTTGGGCGGTGTTATGCAAATCTTCCCACACAGTGACGTAGACATGTGGGGGCGTGTTAGAACGAGCCGTTTTAGGTAGGCGTGGCTGACTCTTAACTTTTATAAAGAATATCTCTTTGGATTTGAGACTTTAGTCTTTGCAACTTTACAGATCTTCTTTATGCACCAAGAGCTTGTAACACTCCAAAGAGAAAGGAACAATTTAAATCGCATCATATGACCCCTTTAAATCGCAAACCAACAGAATGGAAACTAGATCATACTATGACCTTTCACTCAACCTTTTAACCTCTGTGCACATCACATTGAATATCTGAAGACTCTGCTGGTGATATGAAAGCGGTTTTTAAATGATAATTCATGACGTACCTTGGCTGAAGTTTCAAACCATCCCACAAAGCCGTTCTCCTGGCAGAACTGCTCCATTTTGATGCCATTGTTAGTGAGAACATCTCTGCCCTGATCGCACTTATTGGCGAGCAACACGGCCGCCACGTGTTTGCCGTTGGATAAACTCAACTTGGCGTCAAGATCCTCCTTCCACTTCGTCACCGCCTCGAATGTCGATGGCCGGGTGACGTCAAAAACGATGAAGGCTCCCATGGCCTCTCGATAATACACCCGCGTCATGTTTCCGAAACGCTCCTGGCCTGCAGAAGAAATTGAATCAGAACAAACCGCACAAGAGTCTTCTGTAAACACCAGCTATATAGGTCAAGAAGATACACACATTTCACCGTGACTCCATGGTGATCATAGCAGAACACAAAGACAACAGTGAGAGGTTTATTTTCAGCTGAAGCCTTGGGTGAATGCGAGATAATTTCAGTCTTTCTGCTTTTTCCGAGCCCCGTGATCGTACTTTGAGATTCTTGTACACATTTCCAAGGGTCCGAACTAAAGCCTGGATATCGTTAATGAGGAAAAGCACATTCCAATGGCTCCACTGAGCTCCAGTGAAAAACTTCAAGCTCAGTGCTCAGGATTAGTGTCAGAAGTTACTGGAGCAGTAGAGTGAAGACTGAGAAACTATGAAGAGAGCAATGGAAACGACCCAGCTAACAGAGAATGTTCTAAGAACTCTCTGGCAATGTTCTCTCAAAGTTATGAATAAAAATTCTCAAGAACTTTTGTGGTCTTTAGCAGCATTCTAAAAATGTTAGCACACAACCATTATTTGTGCATTGTTCATGGAATGTTTTTTTTCCCTTCTTTCTGAAACATTGTAGTTGTACATATTTGAAATGTTGCTACTTGTTTCAGAATGTTCAGAGAATATTGAAAAGTAACTCCATAATGTTTGCAAAATTCTAAAATGGAATGTTCTCTTAATGTCTGCATAAACAAGAAAAAAAATTCAACATTTTAAAAAGTGGACCTTTTGAACTTTTAGAGAACATCCAGAAATAATTTCCTCATAACTTAATGGCAAAACGTTCCCTGAACATATTTTTGTTAGCTGGGTAGTGCAGCAACATGAGACGTCCTATAATAAATGAGTCCAACAGCTGAGAAATAGTTGCCATTTACAACAAAAGATGGCATGTTTTCTTTACAATAAAAAGCTTTTCGATATTAAATGGAAAGACATTCAGTCATGTAAACGTTGAGTGCTTAAATAGCCTACCTCTATAATCGAGTTGATTTGGGGGCTTTTTCTTGGGAACGACTAAACCATGACAAATCACGCTCCTCTCTGATGCCCCTGCTCATTTTAATATATTTACAACGACGTTCCTGTTTTCCTTCTGGTTTGTTTAGGTGGAAATCTCCCTCACATGAGCGACGAACACATGACAGGGCGAGCGTGCGTGAGCGACGTTATTCAAGAGACTTGAGAATAAAACAATGCGGCTTCGTAATTACATTACGACACATTTGAATAAGTTTGGTTCACATAACATTATAAAGTTATATAAAGCCTTTATATAAATTATATATAAAATGTTATATATGAAATTGCAAAACTCTAGCCTATATGGGCTTTTTTGGGGTCAGCTTTTAATATCAAAAAGAAAACCAGAAAGCAATAAAATTGAATAATCTGCAAGTTATTCACAACGTTGTGACAAGTTAAGAGTAAAGAAAAATAACGTAAAATACTAGGCACATGTCAATGTCTAAGACTGTAGGCTACATATGACTATACAAATTAATGCATTTATAAAATTGTGTACCTATTATTTATTTAGTAACTTTAAAATCTTAGGCCCAGAAGAATATGTATGGGAAAAAAAAAAATTACCGGCGATGTCCCAGAGTTGTAGTCTGACGGTCTCCTGGTCGAGGTTGAGAACTTTGAGCGCGAAATCCACGCCGATCGTCGCGCGGTAGTTCGGTGAGAAGTTCTGGTGCACGTAGCGCTTGATGATGCTGGTTTTCCCCACACCCAGATCCCCGATCACCAGGATTTTATACAAGTGTTCCTTCAGGTGATGGTTCTGCATGGCTGTGTGAGACGGAGCCGAACATGGACGCGTGATCCGCGGTCAGACTCTGAGGGAAGAAACAGAAACGCCCCGCGGAGAGAAAAGCGCAACTTGTGACTCTTCAGTCGAGCATGAGACCAGAGACGGAGGGGCCTGTTGAAACTCCATCACCATGGTAAGCACAGATGTCGTAAAAGATCAGAATTAAAACTACTGTTCGATTAAACAACAAAAAGCACAAAATACCACCGCTCTGAAGTGTAGTTACCATAGTAGTAGGTGTGAGGATCACGCCCTCAACAACTGGCAAGTTTTCTTCACCAATTACAAAAATGTGCGAAGACTTAAGTGTAAGTTCTATAATAAGTTTACACGGACTATCCAATATACCATGGTAACCATACTTGCTGCCTGTTAAACCTGATACTAAAGCAGTCATCAGTAAAACAAAAACGTTTATCTGTCTAAATGGGGACACAGACTTGATTTGTTTTTATATAGAGGTAACTTAAGTTTCTGCATTGTTTAATGGTTTTTTTTCTTTTCATTCAGATGTGGACATACCTTAAGTAATGTAACTCAACTAGCTCACTTACGTGTACAAATGTGTCCCCAAAATATGGTTAAACGGGTACAAACAGACTTTTGGACATGTATCATGGAACCATGATACCACGGTTTCCTAAAGCAATTGTCCATACCATGTTTAGACCATGGCATGTAGTTAACATCCCAAATGACCAAAGCCCACTTGAATTCTGAGCTGACAGAACTAATATGAAAACCGATTCAAATGGATTCATTTATGGGATAAATACAAATTTGACTTCATGCATTTCTTTCCACTTAGGCTATACAAAAGTGAAGTACACCTGAGGGCAAAAGTACCTTAAAAGCAACTTTATTAAAAATCATGACACACATACAGGTGCAAAAAAGGCAAAAATCTAAGATTGTGATTGGATTCAAATAGTCCCGAGCAGCTTAACGGTTGGCAAAGGACTCAAGTGATTGTTCATTAAAATCACAAGTACTGATTTTCCTGAGAGCAATTGCCAACTTGATATTCTCTAAATACAAATTGACTGTCAATTAAAAGAGTGGTGTAAAAACTGACAAGGCAGAGTGCAAATGTGACCTTCAGAGCTCACATGGATCAATGAAAATCTAAAATCCCTTTTCTTAAAAACACATTATAAGCAGTTGAGCCACATTGCAGCACCTGAAGGCACCCAACTTTCATTAGCACAGATCCAACAAGGAGGGAATTATTTTTTTGAAATGCTGTTTTTGGTCATACACACAATCCTTGTGGAAATCCACATAAACGGAGCAAAAAAAGGACAGAACAACTTTGTGTGTTGAAGTAGAAGATTATGAACAGATGGAGGCAGCAGGTCAGTTGCAACAAAACACGGCACTGCAAATCTAGAGACAAGACCTACAAAAATTAAGATTTTTAGATCAATTTAAAACCATAACTACACTCTAGACAGGGTTGGTTTTGGGTGACAGCAACAACTGAAAGAACAGGTGACCCAAGACAGGCCGAATCAGGAGTTTTCAAGTGGACAGGTGGCTCAGAGAAAGATGATAACTGGGAATTTGAAGAGGCAGAAACTAAAATGGCCTCACCATTATTCCTTAAAGGGCTGCCAAAAAGAACAGTAAAAGGCACAGAAGATTAATAAATTCTCTAGAGGTCAGCAAGAGAAAGTCAAAAGCTATGGAGACAGAGATGATGTCGACTCACATGGAACAAGACCAAGATGACAACCAAAGAGGAGAACCTTGAATCCAAAATTAACTTAGTTTCAAGCTTCATAATGTAAGAAGAATTGGGAAATGAGAGCGAATCAAATCTAAAGAGACTTGTAATTTCACGTTCAAACTGTTTGCTACTAAAAGGGACCTGAAAAGGTCATTTCACAAAAACAAATTAGTTACAACACCGGTTTCCCTTTTTCAGAATTGTGATTATCAAAATACTTCTCCAGGCCGTGCTCGTTTCAATTGACCAATTAGTCTACACTCTCTAAAGTTTGGCGATTGGTGTAGCGGCTACAGCAATGCTCTCAATGGCGCATTCATCTGTTCCTCGACGGATCCTGAAAAACCCATTCTCGCCCCACCCGGTTCCCCAGCTGTTCTTCACGATCCAGTACTTCTCGCCAGTCTTATGGCACTTTCCATACCCCACCAACAGCACGGCGTGATTCGTCAGCTCAAACGGATTGATGGAGTCACGGAGGCCGGTGTGATGGTAGATGCCCTCCTTGTAGTTCATGAAATCTGGGTAGACCTCCAGGGCCACACCCATGGGGCCGTTCCTGACCAGCTCCAGCATCATGGCCGCCTCGCTGCAGCCGCCGTAAAACCCACCCACGTAGTGATAATCAGAGGCGTAGTACCTCGTGCATTTCTCAGGTACTTTGCAGGGAGAATCTTTCCCGGTGTATGGGAAACAATCCTCCTCCACAATGCCAAAGTCCTGGATGTATTTACCAATCAGGTATGGAAAACCTCCATCACAACCTGTACAAAAGACAAAAAAAAATAAAATGAGATTATATATATGTATGTAAATTTGAAATAGACTAAAATCCAAAATGTTAACTTCAGAATATTCAATTAATTGCAACATTTATGGGGGGGGAGAGGGGAGGAACCAGGGTTATTATAGTACCTAAAGAAAATAATAATTGAAATAATTGAAATAAATGTTAACTGAAATAAAATTATAGTAAAACTAGCTAGTTCCTAAGGTAACACTTCTCATTTTCGAAAATAACCAAAAGTACTAAAATAACTAAAACTCAAATACACCAACAACTATATAGACATTTAAAAACAAAAAACCCCTAAAATTACTAATAATAAAAGCAGAAAAATCTAAATATTAAACAAAAAATATATATAGTGCTAGTATGTAGATACAAAAATAACACTGGGAATGACAAAATTGTTGTTTATAATCATAATCTACATAACTTACAATATTTTTATTATAATTTTATATAAAACAATAGTATTATAATCAATTGTATAAAAAGTAAACTGACTTAGATCAGAACAGGGGCGATTCTAGGATTTTCATTTTAGGGGGGCTCAGCCCCCACTGAGGGTATAATAATAATAATAATAATAGCCTAATAAAAAAAAATATATATATATATATATATATATAAATAAATTTAAAAAATTGATTAATAGTCGTATACTAAACTTATTGCAGTATTCCACTGTATTGCATGGATCGGTATAACATTCGAGTACTGAATAAGCCAAATTCAAGTCACACACAACCCGTTTACTGTAGGTTACCAACATAATTTTATAGTTTGCATTTCTAGTATTCCTTCTCAAGTAGGCCTATGCAAACCTCTTTGCCACATGCACTGGAATGCATTATATTGAAAGTTAAATTTTCAAATGAAAATAGCAACATGATCGTTTTATAAAGTATGCGTTCATATGTGCTTCATTTTCGCTGGAGGAAACCGCTGTGGTGTGATGAGGGGTGAACGCAGTGAAAACTTAGGCTACAGTAGATGGGGAACCAACCGATTATTGCTCTCCCATGATATTTTGTAAACTGTATTTATGACAAAACTGCACAGACATTTTATAACAGTATAGGCTATCGATAAACACACACCTTTTCCTCTGTTTCTCGCACGGAGCCGCTGCGGTCTGCTGATTGAAGAACGGAGGAGCCGATCGAAGTATGCTGCCGTTTTCATATTAAATTTTTAAGGGGACTAAGGCGATCACGATTTTGTGTACAGTTTATGGCGATAATCGCAAAATGTTAGGGGGGCTGAGTAGTCATTTAGCTATAGCCCCCCTAAAAATGGCCTAGCGACGCCCATGGATCAGAATAACTTGCAGCTTAGATCAGAAAAATTATAATTCATGATAAAAATAATTCATTTTTTAGCAGCAATAATTTTAGAATATAACAAATAATAATAATAATAAAAGCCATCATATTAAAAACAATAGCATGCATTTATAGAAAAAAAACATTGGTAGCAACAATTTTATAATATAACTACTGTATATAATAAAATGTCACTATTACTAATACAGTTTATCATTAAAAACAATAGCTAAATAAAAAAAATCCCTTTAACATGCTTTAATTTCTCTCCCAATCCATCCTCCCATTACATTTTATAAAGGACAAGTTCACTTAAATGCAATTAAAATGAGAATTTCATCCTGAAACTTTACTCATTTAAAACAACAGCTTAAATAATTAATAATGTAAATAAGTATAAAAAAATTTACATCCCTAAAGAAATAAATCTTTTTAAATCTTATAAAACCAACAGGGAGGAGGAGGAACCCAAAGTCAAACATTTACACAAAGAACCCATTCTGATCTCAATCGGATTGTGTAACCATAATCCTGAGGGTACTGGAAAAGCAAACATTCACAGTTTTATAACTGCTAATACGCAGACAGGCCCTGTGAAGTTCAGCACAGATACTGCTCACATTAAACACTGCCTAAGTGCAGCAACACGTGCTTTTACCTTGAGAATACTGAGAGCAGGACACCACTTGCTGTGGACTGAACACCGGCTGCTGCGTGTTGTTCGTCTGGATTCGGACTCGAGCTTCAAGCATTCCCATAGTGGAGAAAGAGTAACAGCTGCCGCATTGAGCTGGAGAAAGAAAGCGAGGAAATCATTTAAAGATGAAAAATGTCAATTTACAACCTCATTTCCTTGTCTTACAGAACTATCCTTTAATCCTCTCATGCCTCTTCTAATGTGTCTAGAGCATCTGAAGGAGCTCTTAACAAAAGTGAGACACTATCAGGCTCTGAAAGGAACGAGCCACTCCAGACACATCAACCAGTGCTAGAAGAGCCGATCATCTCCTCACTTATTTCAGAGAGAAGCAACCAGCAAGACTATATCAGTTTGTGTTTCTCATCACGACTGACTAGGAAAGATGAGATTGTAAACCCAACAGTAGTATTCAAAAGTCAAATTGTGATTAGAAGCTTAGTGTCAAAGATGGTCAGACATCTTAAGACTAAGAAATAAGAAGGCTTTAAACAGACAAACTAGTGATGAGCCCTGGTTATCTTGCTCATGGGACCACAGACCTTAAACCAAATCACTTCAGGCCAAAAATATCCATTTCCCACAAATGTCTTTAGAATACATGGCTAATTCTGAAATACATTTTAAAACAAGATGGTGTAGTTACTGCATGTACCAGTGGAGGATAACTAGCTCATGCTAACCATTGGGTCCCACTAGTAATGACCCAACAAGACAAAGCGAAAATCAAAAAGCATCAGTGGCATAAATAAATAAAAAGAAAACACCAGTCCATTCTGTTGACTTTATTGCTTTAACTCAGCATTATTGTTCATTTAAAAACGCCACCACATTTGTGGTAATTAAAAAAAAGCTTAATGGAAAAAAAAAGGAAAATAAATTACATGAAAAACTTTCACTTATTTCAGTGTCAAGGCACCATTTATAACTCCTTCAATTTGAATTACAGTAAATGCCAAAACTGAGATAAAAAGAAAAACAAAACTCGCAACTAATAAAAATAAAAAATAAGTTACTAAAATTACAAATAAAATGTCAACTAAAAATATAAAAAGCCAAATCAAAATAATCACTAAATTCTATAATACTAATAACAAAAATGGTCTAAAGGAATCTGGAAAAAACAAAAAACAAAACACTCTGGCTTGTGTATAATTTAAAGGCAATTTGCACCAAGTGAAAATAGCATATTTTCTTAGCGATAGATGCTATTTACACGAAGTGCAAATAGCTATAGATTCTATTTACACCATGTTAAAATAGCAGGATTTTCTGCTATTTATGCTACTTATTGCAAATAGTGGCAATTATCTGCACCTTAGTATTGTAGTACATTATAAAACAGTATGCAATAACTTAAGAGTTTAAGTTTTCATTTTAACTCAAATTATTAAATGGATTCCACCTTATTGGGACAAAAGCCCTCCCTAACCCTACCAGATACTTTTTCAACTTTCTGATTATTTCCTTCATTTTCATTGAAAATAAATGCTTTTCTGATGTAATGTGAAATTTGAAAAGGGAGAAGAAAAAAAAAAGTTCGTCAAAAGGCGGATTCGAACCCGGGTCGATCGCGACAAAATGAATACGACACGTTTTACCATCTGCGCCACTGGAGCTGACGACTGTCTGTTGTAATGTTGACTAGTCCAATCACATGTTGGTGGGCGGCGCTAGTGTAAACAGCCTCTGCCAACGAGGCGGGCTATTTGCACTTAGTGTAAATAGACACTCCGTAATTTAAATTGTAAATATTAAAAGGTTAAATATTAAATATCCATGGGCTCCTCTCCAGAAGCCTTACTTCACAATTATTTGTATTATTATTACTTCTACTACATAATAAAAATTATTATTACACACTTATACAAACAAACAAATAAAAGTACTGTATTAGGTTTGTTGGGGAAATTTCTGTAAAAATAAACAATAGCCAAACACAGACTAGATAAAAAGCTTGTAATTTTCTGGTAGTGTTTCTAGCATCATTTATCAGGCTCTGGTCTATAGCAAGAACAGCTACATCATTCAATAACACACACTTCCTGGATTAGAGTGAAAACAATCAATCGATAGCAGCATATTGAAGCTATTCCCAGGACTCGACTGCAGATGGTAAAGAACACCAAGAGGTTTCTGATATACATCACTTGCTCAACTCGGAGCAATACAGGACAGATTGAAGCAACCATTTGATTGCAGCATTTCCTCTTACTCTCAACACACACACCTTGGTTGCGGACAGGGCTAACATAATTGCCTCCGTTCACGTCTCTCCAGTCCCAGTGTTCTGGAAGACCGGCTGCCATCTTACTGTCTGCAGAAACCATCACAGGCCTTACACGTCTGAGAGAGAGAGAGAGCGAGAGAGAAACTGACATGAAATTGGAGATGACCATTTATCTTCCAAATTAAATGTTGCTGCTCTTAATATTCAGTACACAATATTCTGCAGAAGAAGAACCACCTATGCAGTTAACTACTTTTACTGTAAAATGCTTCTAACTAAATCACACCAGACATTTATGAACTCCAATAACTCAAGTCTAAAGGCATCAGTTATTTATATTTCACAAAAGCCCTGACTGCACCAGTTAAAGTGAGCGTACCGTGGTATACGAGAGGCATGTCCTCCTGATCTTCTCAGCATCTCCTGTATGGTGAGGGTCTCATGGAGACTGTATGTTGTCGCTTTCCAAGACTTCTGAACTGAGTTTATTTGATCCACAAACCCCATGTCGTTTGTGTATGGCAGCTTCATGAGCCTAGAGATCAAAGGTTTGTTATCATGAAACCCAATAAATGCATCAATCACTCAAGGTTGATGATCACATGAGATCTTATCAAGATATAGAGAGCAATTAAAGGACAATCGATTCACAAGTGAGAAACACAAACTGCTGACACACTTACAGTTTGTGTTGGAATCCAAGAATGTGATTGTGGTCGATTCGGGGTTGGATGGGCTGCACTTTCTTCCCAGTGAAACAGCCCCAGTTATTCCCCAAAACATCATGAACCCAACCGGGCAGCGTCTGATCGCAGTAACTGGTCACCTCTGAACCCTGCTGAGAATACTAGACACACACAGAGAAAAAGAAATACTCAATGCAATAACATTACTGTTAAAGCACATTTATTATGAATAGATTTAAGCATTTTATGTGATTCCCAAACAACATCATGTGATCTTTTTAATACTAGGGTTATGCAAAACTACATAAATAGTCTAATTCTAAAATCATTCATAAAAATGTATATGAAGGGCAAAGTCTTCATATTTGGTTGATTTCTTATTGTTTGAACGCGGTGTTGTTATTGTTAACTAAAATAAATCAACATTTTCTTGTTTTTGGTAGATTAAATAAAACACTTGTTTAAAAAGTTGCCTTGGAAACTACTGTAAGTTTAAGTTGAAGTACTAAAATGGCAAAGCAAAAAAAAAAAAAAAACCCACTAATTCCAAATACTACTAAATACCATAATAGTATTAATACTAAAATAACACAGGATCTCACAAAAAAATAAATAAAAATTGCATGTGTAAAATCATCCCACATTTATTGAGCTAGACACCAGTACAATAAAGAACAGAAACACAAAAGAGTTGATGTCAGAATTTCCCTTCTGTTATAAAAGTCACAGTCATCTGACCAGCCATGTGCCGTTACCGAGACTAAAAGGGTCTCATCACTTACCTTGAAAAACCCAAACCACTTGTAGTCATTGATCACTACTTCAAAGCCCTGGTTATAGATGAGAGTGAAGAAGCCAGTGTGACCGAGATCATCCACAGCTACAGACAGTTTCTGCAGGTCCACGGTCACCGTTTTCACAGACTTTCCTGTTTAAAAGTCAATGGAGTTTAATTTAGAAACTTAAGGAAGTAGCTTTGGTGATATGCAAACACAATGGCTGCAATTCAATACCTGCCTATATATAGCATTCTGTACATCATATGTGCTTTTGAATGTTCAGATGCGCCTATGATGACCACAAATGCTGCCTATGAAGGCAGTTCACTCGGTTTCTAAAACAAAGCCAACATCTACAATAGGAAAAAGAAACTATATACACACAATATAAACCAAAAATGACAATTAAGTTCACACTTTTGTATTCTCAGTCAGAATTAAAGTAGTAATATAGTATTGTTAATTAAGATAAGCATGCTCCAATGAACTGACATTAACAAAAACACTACATTAATATCGTACAACCATGTTTTTGACATGGTATAACTTTGGAGTAACTTGGAAATACCATGGCATTTGAACAGTAATCGCTCAGTCAGTAGCATGGTAAATGTCAAAGTATACTAACGAAGCTGCTTTTGAATGTTCAAATGCATCTTTGATGCCTTCATAGACAACATTTCTGGGCAGTTTACTAGGTTTTAAAACACACCCAACATATACAATGTGGAAAGGAAACACTACATACAATATTTATCAAAAATAACAATCAAGTTTACTGTTGTACTCAGACAGCATTAGTCATACAATGTTGTTAATTAGGAAAAAAATATTCTCTAATGGACTGACACCAACAAAATACTACTATGACTACTACAACCATGTTTTTTTGACTTGGAGTAACTTGGAAATACTATGGTATACGAACACGGTGATCATTCAGTAACATGGTAAATATCAAACAAAAGTATAATGGCAATGCTAATCATTGTACAATCATGGTACGACCACAGTACCAGTGTTATTAAGAGTATCCAAAAAGTACATCCTTAACGCATCATTTTAGTAGAACACCTATAATCAGGTCTATTATATTAAAAAGAGGCACAGATGTTCAGCTGAAGACCTCAGCGTGAAACCGAAAGTAAAACTGATCTTCCGTGTGGAAGACAAAAGCGCACTGATTCAGATAGTGTGACCTGGTCTGACCTGTGCTAGAGCAGTTGATGGTTCGATCGTGACCCACATTATACACGCTGAAGATCCAGGTGCCCAGCAGGTCCTCATAGGTGCAGTTGGCCGGAGTGTCGGCCGCAGACCCGCCGATGAACGCCAACAAAACAATGACGGCGAGCGCACGCATCCTTACGACAACAGACAGACAGCGATATATAACGGGAGTGATTGCTGACCAGACGCAAGGATACAAATGCGTGTCCCTCTCGTCCTTCCGCGCACCTGCGGCACTGAAACTGTTGTCCAGCCGCGTGCTAATGAACTTATACAGCGACGATCATATGACACGAATCACATGATATGCCAGTGCGCGCGCAGAAGTAATACTATCACACCGACAAAAACACATTCATCATGCAAACATGCGCATTTGATTCTATCACACACAATAATTAACTCTTATGACAAACATGCATTAACTCAGTCACATAAGTACATGCATTGATCACAAACCCATTCATCACACGAACAGACAAACATTTGGCCATGCACACATTATTTACAGTGACACATTACTCAATCAGAACAATGTAGCCTACATGTTACAAAAACAACAATCATGGTTTAAATCAGAAATACATTAGAGTGCATTGCAAATGCCGTGTTATGTTGAATTTAAATTTTAATGATGTTTTCAACAAATGTGTCTCCGCAGTAGGCCTATCACTGCATTAGAAACATGCGATCCCTTGGAGACGGATCTTTAGTGAAGTGAAAATTTAGAGTCATGGCCTGAGTTACACTTCTGTCGGGATTTTATAACCGCTTTATCAGCAAAACAGAAATACGTGCTAGTGAGGATTTATTCATTTCACTTATGTTTTGAGGATTGTAAATGAAAGTGTCAGCACTTTGCTTAAACATTTTGCTCTTTTACAGTAGGTCGCTGTTACCATTTTATGCATAAGTTACACAACATTTTGTGTTAAAGCATTAAGTTGCAGTATTCTTAATATCGTTTCACATTACACTTAGGAACAGTTAACATGAAAATTGAAAATGCATTCATCCTCAGGCCATCCAAGATGTAGATGAGTATGTTTCTTCATCAGAGCACATTAGGAGAAATTTAACATTACGTCACTTGCTCAGCAATGGATGCTCTGGAGTGAAAGTGTGCCGTCAGAATGAGAGTCCAAACAGCTGATAAAAACATCACAATAATCCACAAGTAATCCATACCACTCCAGTCCATCAGTTAACATCTGGAGAAGTGAAAAGCTGCGTATTTATAAAGAAAAAAATCATAATAAAGAAACCGTTGCTTCCATAATCCATAATAATGCTTCTTCAAGTGAATTCACCCATTCACTGCAGAGGATCCATTGGTGAACAAGTGATGTAATGCTACATTTCTCCAAATCTGATGAAGAAACAAACTCATCTACATCGTGGATGGACTGAGGCTGAGTAAAGTTTCATCTGTAAGGGTCAGACTCTCATACTCACAATTCAATTTAAACTTACTAATGTTGCAGTTTCTACTGAAGCCAGTGAAAATCAATCACAAACTTGTCAATGCTTGCCTCATTAAACATGCATGTGCTTTGAACCGTTCCAGGAACATTCACATGCAAGTTTCAGCACCTGATGGTTGAAAAACAGTGTGGAAAAACCCAACAGATTTTCAGTACGATAAAAAAGAACATATAATTGCCAGGCTGCAGAATGTAGCTTTTGCAAACACACACACACACACTAAATCATTAAGACTTTAAGCACCATAACACACATTTTGACCTTTGGGAACAGTAATGTACCCCACTGCTGTATGAGTGAAAACTTCCTCGCCCCATTAGTGGTTTAAACATCTAATGATGCAGTAAGCAACTAAATATATGGAGCCAACAAACAGTGCCTGTGTTTTTTTTTTCCTAAATGCTATTGGCTGATTTAATTTAGAGCTTTTTAAGACAGAAAAGGCCATCTGACGTCCCCCTCTGAGCTCAGCTGTCTCTTCGAACAACCTGGTGCATTTAACGAGCCTCATTAACCAATCAGAACGGAGCGGGGTGGGGGAAGACAAAGAGGAGCAATTACCACAACGACTATGATTCGCACACTCCATCCTAACAGCCCAGAATTGAAAGCGCAGAACACTGAAATGCACAGGAATTAGTCACTCTGACTATTTAGATGTACAGCACTGCCAGTGTGTGTGTGTGAAGACAGCGAGAAACAGAAGGAAGTGAGAGTTCGAGTGCGTCCACTTTAAAACAGCTGTTTTATTTGGAGTCCTGGTGCGACACCAGAGTTTCATCTGGCCAGAATTGTTTTCAATCATTGCCGTATCGCTGACACTAATGAGAAGTTGATTGCAGGGCAGTTTCCTGTCGCTGTTACGCTTGTGAAGTGGGAAATGAAAAGGAGAGATTGCAGAGTACTTGCATAGTGCACTGAAATAAAGGGAGTTTTCACAGTGATGCCATAAAAGAACCATTTTTGTTTCCCCAGAGAACCTTTCAGTAAACAGTTCTTCAAAAAACCATTTTCTTAATCTAAAGAAAAAAATTTTCTGCTAGAAAGAACCGTAGAAAGTTTCATGGATGTTGAAGGTTCTTCACCATCAATACCAATAAAGAACCTTTATTTTTAGGAGTGTAATGCAACATTGTTGTCATATGACATTATCTTGCTCGTTTAGATTATTTAGAATTTTCAAACATCTTAACCTTTGGCAGATGGACCAAATAATAAGATGAAATAGATGTCGTCTCTGTTTCATTCATTAAAATAGGAGTTTAAGCTATATACATTGCATTGAGGGATTCCCAATGCAGTGTGCTCCATTCTATACTGCACATTTTGGTAAATGTAGAACTTTTACATTCATGCATTTGGCAGATACAAAGCAAGTTTCTGTATTTAGGGTTAACACAGATTGTCACTGGGGCAGTAGACACAAATGGACATATTTGTACCTTGTTTACCCCTAAAAGTTTCAGTAACTCTTTACTTAAAGCATTTATGAATAATTCATTATGTAAGTATTCATAATGTACATTATAATGTATTATATATTTTCATAAATGACCAAAGTTAATGAATCAATCAATCAATATAACCTATTATAAGTGTGGCTAGAATTATAACGCGTTTAATGCATGATAATGTGCATTACAAGGCCTAATTAATGCATTCAAAATAGTTTTATAATGCATTACTGTATATATAAAGCCTTCAAGCAAAGAGGTACCAAAGATTCATAGTAGTACAGTAAGGGTACATATGACTAGTTTAAGGTACTAATTTACACATTTTAGAGTAGATAAAAAGTTGTCAATTTAAAAATGGCATTTATTTTCTGTCAGTGTATGTGCACTGCAGAAATAGTAGTGTGGTAGCAAAGCCATTATTATCAGTCAGTGATGTTCTGCTTATTACAGATGAGCACATAGTACAAGTAAAATTACACAGATGAAACAGGAAGCAGCCTGTTAGACAAATGCAACAGCATTACATGATATGCTCATGTGGAGGAGCTTTGAGTGTGAAGGCACTTCAGATTGACAACTGTGTGTGTGTGTGTGTGTGTGTGTGTGTGCTTCTAAAGTGGTCTCATATGTAATTAGTATAATCACCACACATTTTCATGCTCTGTGTGTGTGTGTGTGTGTGTGTGTGTGTGTGTGTGTGTTTGAATGACGTGATCTGGGGGTCTTGAATTCAAACACGTTGCTGTTGCTTGCTCTCGCCCACACGTAATTACATAAGCTTGCCATCTGCTGTCACTCCAGAACAGTGTTAAAACACACATGCATCTCACCCCCAACTCATAAGATTTCTATAGTATGCAGTATGCATTGGTATATAATTTTGTTTGTACGCAAGTATTCTGTATGCATCTGTCAATATGTGCACTGAACAACCAAAGACAGAGACTTGTGTAAGCTTGTTCTCATCACGGAATGAAAAAATAAAAAGTTAATTTCGACTTTTTATCTCACAATTCTGACTTCATATCTCAGAATTGTGAGATATAAAGTCAGAATTGCGACATACTGTATAAACTCAGAATTAAGATGTAAACTTGCAATTCTGAGAAGAAAAGTTGAAATGGCAATTGCGAAAAAGTGAGAATTGTGAGATAAAATCCCATTTACCTTTTTTCTTCTATGGCAGAAACAAAAAAAACAGAATTGCAAGATGTAAACATGGAAATGCAAGAGAAAATTGTGAGTCTCACTTGTCTCTTAGAATTGTGAGAGAAAAAGTCATAACTGTGAGATATAAACTCAGAATTACAAGAATAAGAATCAGAATTGTGAGATTAAAAAGTCGCAATTACCTTTTTGCATTTTTTTTTTTTTTTCAAATTGAATGCTGGAAACAGACACGATCTACACAGGACAAAAATGGTGTTGAAACAATTTTCACTCAGAAATTGATAGTAAATTTCACAGATAATTACAAAGAAACAGGAACACGTTGAATTAAATGTGAAATTTTTACTTGATTTCTACTTAAAATGTACTGAAATGTACTTTACAACTTTGACAAAAAAAATTTTGCAGTGTATTTCTAGCGATATTTCTAGCATAAACCAGAAAGCGATATTAACAATGATTTTTGACATCTCTGTCTACACTATTTTGTGCCAAAAGCTAATACATTTTGTAATAACATTTTTTAAAGAAATGTAACTTGCTGAATCAATGTAATGAGGTCATGTGACCTTTATTTTTACATATTGCAAATACAGTATACACTGTGCAATACTATATTTTGAACATACTGTTGCCGTTCTTGCTTTGCATGTTCAGTCACATGCTCACTCACATGACTTTGCCATGTGTGTGTGTGTGTGTAGTGCTGATAAATGAGCTTGGAAGTGAAACACACGGCTGAAATGATGGAGCACAGTGCTGGTCTGCTGCTTAATGATCTGGGCTGCTGTAATAAAGGTCTCATGCGGGGCGAGACTGTGAACAAGAGTTGCTGAGATACGATCTCCATCCTATCCGAGAGTGAGAAACAAAAGCTCTGGGGGAAAGTGTTCACGCAGCAGGTTTGCAGCACAGCGCTTTTGAGGAAAAGACCTTTGCTACATGACAATTCTTCAAAATAGCAAATATATTAGTTGCTAAAAATGTCTCTTGTGCATCACCTGATGCGACCAAAGGCAGACGGATGGAGTAGAAAATTGCAATTCCATTCAGCGAAGTTAGTGGAACAGAAAATGAACTCTTCAGCTTTAATTTATGAATGCACTGGCATAGAAACAAATTTCACTAAAAAAATGTTAGTAAATTTCACAAGTAATTACAAGTAACATTGAATCAAATGTGAAACTTTGAAGTA